GAAGCCGATTTCGGTGAACCAAAACTTATCTGAAATATAGACGTTAAAGTCCTTGAGGGGGCGGGCTAAGAGTCGTAACCATAGCAGCAGAAGCTGAACCAATCAGGAAGCAAGCCTTCTCAAACGGGGATAAAAGGCCGGAAATGACACACGCCCACCGAGCATTTTCCGGTAGGACCGCGCGGCGACGGTTCGTTCTTAATGCTCCATTTATATGCATATATCTTATTAATGTAATTGTTTGTCTCTGAATATCTGTAACCCATGTTTTGTCAAATAAATCTTTTATACCGAGGGCGACGTCTCTGCTGTGTTGAACACGACGTGGTAGCCAACCACGACAGAGATCAATTTGATAGGTTTGAGTCTCAAGCAAAGAAGTTGTCTCCAACAGTTTCACAGGCTTACAGAGTTACTGGTCGAAGATCAAAGACTCCAAAAACATTTTTTGGAGAGAGCGCCACCTCAGAGGTTGACTTATCAGCTCAACAAAAGTTCTCCACCAGTGTTTTTTTGGTGGTTGTTGACAGATTGCTTTCTGAAATCGATCGCAGGTATGTTGCATATGATAACCTCACCAACACTTTTGGCTTCCTGAACAATTTTTCTGGTGTTACTGTTCCAGAGCTAAGAAACAAAGCATCTCATCTCCATAGTAAATATTCATCTGACTTGGAGATGGACTTTGTGGAGGAAATTGTCCAGTTTAAAGATTTTATTCGTGATAAAGGCATCACATCTGCTCCATTGCTTTTACAATTCATTAGGGAAAAGAAACTGCAGGACATCTTCCCAAATGTGGATATTGCTTTCAGGCTTTACCTGACATTTCCTGTCACAAATGCAAGTGGTGAGCGATCATTCTCCAAGCTTAAAATAGTTAAAAATAGACTCAGATCCACAATGGGACAGGAAAGACTGAACCATTTGACTCTCATGTCTATTGAGAGTGATCTAGTGAGAAAGCTGGACTTCAGTGATCTTGTCAAAGAATTTGCTGCAAAAAAATCCAGAAAAGCAGGCAACTTTTCATATTTCACATCAGACTAAGGCTTAAATGTCTGATAACCCTTTCACTCATTACTGAAAGGGCTTGGTATTACTGCTTAGGGCAGTGATGTCCAAACTTTTTGACATGAGGGCTAAAATTGTTATGTTGAAAGAACTTTGGGGCTGTAAAATAATTTGAAAACAAACTTGGTCTTTTTTAAAGTTTATCTGCTAAATTAAAGTAAAAATTTTAATGATTGTAGATACAAGACAAAGATTTTGCATGTCTGCATTATGAGACAGGCTCAAAGTTTCTAACTTTTCAGGGTTGAGTATTGTTTTCTTATTTGGGTTACATGGTTTGCGTTTGAGTAAATGTAGGTCGTGTTTGTGGTTCTAGTTCCTCCAAATAAGATGAATGCAGAAGTGTCATTAATAAATGGAAATCTGTATTTTGTTCGTCATATTTTTCAAGATGTTCTCTGTAAAAACCTTGGTCTAGAAGATGAAAATTGTTCATTTGCACCCACCTCTGCTTTTATTGAGAACGGGGCTGTTCAGAGTTGTTTGTAGTTTGTTACAACTGGCTTATTAAAGTTATAAGTTGTGCAAACTTACTGTTTGGTCATTTTCTGCTCATCCTCTAAAACAAAACAAAACAAAACAAACACATACAAATATATATATATATATATATATATATATATATATATATATATATATA